ACACACACACACACACACACACACACACACACACACACACACAAAATTATACCATTACAAAAGTCTACAAAAATTACACAATTACAAAACTGTATTATAATAACACCATTGGGCATAGCGTATCAGTAAATTGTACAACCGCTTCATGGTTACAGGGTGTTCCATAAACGTCCCGCACTGGCAACCGGAATCGGGATCGGCGGCAGAGGCAACGCTGGAGTCGGCGGCAACGGTGGGAATTTGGGGGTTGACAGCGAGTGCGGCGACGCGTTGAAGAGACGCAAGGTTCACAGATGCGACGTGGCAGGCTGTGATAAAGTGTACACGAAGAGCTCCCACCTGAAGGCTCACAAGAGAACCCACACTGGTAAGTTCGCGCGACTTTTATTGTTAGTCGTGAATCGGTATTGAACTCCGAGTTCCGTGCATTTATCAGAAAAATTAGTAGTCATCGAATGGAAAACGGTGAACACGTTAAAAGAATTTGGAGAAACACTGTCTTTATTAAACTGGTAGATTACTGAACTATCTTCTATAACAATCGGCAGTCCAAATGTTTTCCGACACTGGTTCATATTAAGAATTTATTTTATGTGTTTCGAAGTGAATTTACATTGATACATATATTATATGTTAATATATTAATGTTAATATACATTAATATTTTAATATCAATCGTTATATTGATATATGAGTATCAATATATATATATCGTTATATCAATATATGAATATCAATATATACATCGTTATATTAATATATGAATATCAATCTATATTGTTATATTGATATATGAATATCAATTAATATCGTTATATTGATATATTAATATCAATCTGTATTGTTATATTAACATATTAATATCAATCTATATTGTTATATTAATATCCAATGACTTTAATTTAATTCATACAAATGATATAATATCTGTCTCTTATACACATCTAGATGTGTATAAGAGACAGGTATTGTTATATTAACATATTAATATCAATCTATATTGTTATATTAATATCCAATGACTTTAATTTAATTCATACAAATGATATAATATCTGTCTCTTATACACATCTAGATGTGTATAAGAGACAGGTATTGTTATATTAACATATTAATATCAATCTATATTGTTATATTAATATCCAATGACTTTAATTTAATTCATACAAATGATATAATATCTGTCTCTTATACACATCTAGATGTGTATAAGAGACAGGTATTGTTATATTAACATATTAATATCAATCTATATTGTTATATTAATATCCAATGACTTTAATTTAATTCATACAAATGATATAATATCTGTCTCTTATACACATCTAGATGTGTATAAGAGACAGGTATTGTTATATTAACATATTAATATCAATCTATATTGTTATATTAATATCCAATGACTTTAATTTAATTCATACAAATGATATAATATCTGTCTCTTATACACATCTAGATGTGTATAAGAGACAGGTATTGTTATATTAACATATTAATATCAATCTATATTGTTATATTAATATCCAATGACTTTAATTTAATTCATACAAATGATATAATATCTGTCTCTTATACACATCTAGATGTGTATAAGAGACAGGTATTGTTATATTAACATATTAATATCAATCTATATTGTTATATTAATATCCAATGACTTTAATTTAATTCATACAAATGATATAATATCTGTCTCTTATACACATCTAGATGTGTATAAGAGACAGGTATTGTTATATTAACATATTAATATCAATCTATATTGTTATATTAATATCCAATGACTTTAATTTAATTCATACAAATGATATAATATCTGTCTCTTATACACATCTAGATGTGTATAAGAGACAGGTATTGTTATATTAACATATTAATATCAATCTATATTGTTATATTAATATCCAATGACTTTAATTTAATTCATACAAATGATATAATATCTGTCTCTTATACACATCTAGATGTGTATAAGAGACAGGTATTGTTATATTAACATATTAATATCAATCTATATTGTTATATTAATATCCAATGACTTTAATTTAATTCATACAAATGATATAATATCTGTCTCTTATACACATCTAGATGTGTATAAGAGACAGGTATTGTTATATTAACATATTAATATCAATCTATATTGTTATATTAATATCCAATGACTTTAATTTAATTCATACAAATGATATAATATCTGTCTCTTATACACATCTAGATGTGTATAAGAGACAGGTATTGTTATATTAACATATTAATATCAATCTATATTGTTATATTAATATCCAATGACTTTAATTTAATTCATACAAATGATATAATATAATAAAATTCCCATAATTAATATATTAATGCGTAATATATCAATATGTATTATTATTAATATATTAACATTAATATATCACTGTATGTTATTACTAATATATTAATACATAATATATCAACAAATATTGATACATTAATGTATTAATATATTAACATATTCTAAACGACTATAATGATATATTATGTAATAATCCATAATTTAGTATAATTCACGAATGCTTCGCTTGGCAAAGTGTTCACAGCGACCCGAATGGAAACGGATACATACAATCGAGTGTTTCCAAAAAGTTTCCTCTCGCCGGCGATTTCGCACGGGCTGTAACTAGCCCATCAAGGTTTCGCAAACGACATTAACGTCCGCAGATAACGCAGACCCGCAATTACAGGTATCCCCGTATCCACTAAAGGCTCCGCTAATTGCCGAACCAGCATCTCGAGACGATCGACTATTTGCCGCGCGGCGTTTTACACGCGGTTCAGTTTCCGCGGGCTCCGGGCGGGCTGATACGCGAGAACGGCAACAGGAAATTCCCGTTTTTGTTCGCGCCGTAGCCCGAACGTGCTTTCACGGTCATTAAAAGATCTTCCCACGTTAACCAGACGGAGACAGAGCGTCATTAACGGATGCGCGTTTCGCGCTTCTCCGATTCGGCCGACGAGAACGATGATATCTTCTCTCTCTGTTCTAATATAGCAGAAGAGAAGCGACGATTGTGCCTATGGTGTTCGATTCACCGTTTAGAAATCATGAGGATTTTATACAAAAATCGTACGAATTTTCGCCGACTTGAAAGAAAGAGACCAATATAGCGCGACGGTCCTTTTCTCAAAAAGTTGGCCAAAATGCTAGGAAAAAAGAAGCAATGACGCGGCTTCGTCCAAAATCAACTACAATACGGTACAGTTTATGCAAAATTAGTAGCAGTTTATGTCATCGTTTCGCTCGACTCGCGTAATTTCGAAAAATACGACGTCCTGAAATTCGGCGAATTCTCGCAGAGACGGGTGGATCCACTTCGCGCTTACGAATTTTTATCTCGGCAACCATCGGTCGTATTCGAGTGAACCTTTTTTCATTTGATTGCGGAAGGTCTGTTTTATCGCAGCGATATTTTTATCTGCTTGAAAAATCGCCGCCGCAGCACCGAGAATTATAAACAAATCCGAGACGTCGCTTCGACGTAAATCGGTAAAATTCGATGCGACAATTATTTCCGAGCAGAAAAAATATCTGCTCATTCTTCGAGGATGTATCCAAGCGTTTGCGAAGCGCGGAGTCGATAGGTTGATCGTAGGCGATTTAAAGAAAGTTGCACCATCGGCGTTGCCTTCCCCGAAAAAGTTGAAGAAATTGAAAAATTCGAAGAAAGCGACGCTCGTGGTCGAATAGCGATTCGAACTGTTGCATTTTCAGTAATCTGTTCGATTGAACCGGTCCTCGAAATCGTCGAGCACCGATTTCCAAAAGAATCCGCCGAAATTCTCACTTTTGGCCAGCTATTTGGGAAAACGAACCGTTGCGCGCGGTGTGCGGCGCGGATCGAGCCGCCAGCCGGCCATAAGTCATCGTCGGGCCGGGCAAACGAGGAGGCGGGAGAACGCGATTCACGGAATTTTTCAACAGGATTCGGTGTTTCCTCGAGGCGTGCCAGGCGCGCTCGTGGGACCTTTTTGCCGTGTCGAAGGTCGCAGGTCGCCGGGGCCTGGCCGAGAGGCCCCCATAGAAATTCGATAATGCGACGGCGGTGACGCCGGAATACCATCCGTCGGGAATGCATTTTTAGGCGGGACGTTTTCATAGAGCCGGCCGGCCATTTATTATCGCCTCGCGGAGGAACCTGAAAGAGGTCACACCGTTCCGTTCCTAGCGCCATACACGGCCGGACCGTGCGTGCGTACGTACGTACGTACGAAGCGTTGAAGAAGAAGCCACGAAGAATTTCCGGTGGATAGGCGTACAGTGCCTCTTCGTGAAGGCATCGCCGTCGACGAGAGTGCAGAGGCGGCGGGGAGAGGGCGTGGTCGTGAGAACCAGGATCTTTTGTCTGGTCCATGGCTGAACCGAGCCGGCGTGTGACCGGGGTGCTCAACCACCAGCTTTTCGCAATTTTGGCACTGGTTTTCGTCGAGCGGCTTCATGTCGTCCGCTGCAGTAATTGCTGATAGCTCGGATTTTACGCGAAGACGGACAATTTGGGAAGAGGAGTTACGATTACCCGAGCGTCGCGGTTTGTTCTTATAGTTTTTGACAGTCGATAACTAGGATAACTGTATCTATATAATTTATATAATAACTATAACTGTAATAGCCATAACTATAATCTATAATAATTATAACTATATCTGTATAATAACTATACCTATAACTATATAATAACTATAACTATATCTATATAATAAGTATAACTATATCTATGTAATAACTATAACTATATCTATATAATAAGTACAACTATATCTATGTAATAACTATAACTATATCTATATAATAAGTATAACTATATCTATGTAATAACTATAACTATATCTATATAATAAGTACAACTATATCTATGTAATAACTATAACTATATCTATATAATAAGTATAACTATATCTATGTAATAAAACTATAACTATATCTATATAATAACTATAACTATATCTATGTGTAATAACTGTAATCATATCTCCACTTCCCAAATTGTCCATTTTTGTGTACAATCTAAACGACAATTAGGAAGAATTTACTGTATATGAAAGAATTATACGGGGGGGGAGAGAGGGGTCTTATTTAGTTCTAAATTAGATCTGACTTAAGTTTTTATAAAAATAAACGAGAAGAAATTTTGTTCTAATTCCCAAAAACGATAAGCATTGAATGCTAGGTCTTGATTAAGTCTTAGTTAGGTCTTAGTTAGTTCTAGATTAGATCTGACTTAAATTTCTATAAAAATAAACAAGAAGAAATTTTGTACTAATGCCCAAAAACGACGGACATTGAATGCTAGGTCTGGATTAAGTCTTAGTTAGGTCTTGGTTAGTTCTGGATTAGATCTGGCT